ACGTTGAAGGTGAAGGTACGGTGGCACCGCGAACTGCACAGAAATGGTTCAAGCGTTTCAAAAATCAATAAATTTTCATAATAGCCACAAAACCAGATCAAAAACACAAAAAAATATATATAAAAAATCATTATTTTAACACGGCGCACGAACTTTTTCCTCAACCTAATATAAGAAGGTCATCAGCCGTCAAACACAAAAACTCAAAATTCGGTCCCTGTGGAACCCTGTAGGGTGATCGTCTTTATGATGGTCTGCTGACGGCGCCGAAGTAAAGTGTGAAACTTGGAAATATCGTTTTTTGGATGTAATTCCGTATCTGTAATTCAAACCTGGTATCAGATTTTATATTAGACAAGTCACAAATAAAATAGAAAGAATTTCATGGCCAAAGTCCTTCCCTATAACAGGCAGACTTTCGGTCTTCGGAACTTTTTCCCTACTATACTTCGGTTCAAAACTTCTTCGATACGTTCTAACTCATTTCCCGACTTCAGTTTGAATCTGTTATTAAAATGTTCAAAAGAAAAATCTTTTCCCACTTTTGGTACACTTCCCGTGGATTTGCCCACTATCACGCAATTGACATGAAGTGACGTATCTATAGAGCGGAATGTCACACACATGTACTTAAACAAATTCCTTAAATCCGCCAAACGATAGAATTCAGCCTCACTAAGGCTTATAGAAAACTTGTGTCGATTTCAGGCGAACTCGTTGATATACTAGACCTATTCGTCCACGATCAAACCAAGTATACAGAAATCTGTGAACAATTTGCGCAACGCCCCTCCTTCCAGCTCATACCCACCTTCTGCTTTCATTCTGACTTGATCAAACGTCATTTTGACGCCCTCACTCGAGATTCGAAGCGGACATTTGTTTATCCGTACCAGATGACCAAAGAGCTGAAAGAAGAACTCGGGGAACCGTACGCGAACAAACTTACTTTGCCCGACGTTCCATCGGATGACAAAGCGGACCATCACTTTCTTTTACAATCGCACGACTTTCCCGATCTTCTCTTTACACTGGGTGTGTCTCCGAACGGAACGATCATCGACGACTATCCAACTTATCTCAACGCTCGTCGTGACTGCACGGCTGAACATCGAAAAAAGACACCTGAGAATGTCAGATCCTTTGCTCAGGGCATCGTTCGAGCCATTGAGCGCGTTCAAAATGATTTTCATCTGAATACTTTTGCTAAGTACGATTCAGCAGGATGTGGGGGTGGAACCAATATGAGTCCTGATTCACATGCTGTTCTCTACGATAAGACAAAAGAAGAAAGTGAGCGAGTGGACTACTTGACAAAATATATCAATGATGGATGGGGACATGAGGAATTGCCGCCCTTTGGCGTTGTTGAAGAATCGGAAGAGGCCGAAAAGTGGTCCGGCGTGCCTGCGGACTATGGGATTTGTGGATTTGTGTTGAGTGGCAAATTTTTCCCTACTTCCGTTAATGTGGAGAGAACGACTCATGGTCGATATGGCGGTATGGTATGTAAATGCTTTCTAGTGGGAGCAGGTTTGCACTTTGGCAGAACAAGTTCTATGCACTAACAGTTAGAATACTACATTGTCAACAACATTCTACAACATCCACTCGAAAATATTGTTTATTAGAGAACTGTGTAAGGTGCCGCTACAGTCTGTTATGTAGCAATAAGTGGGCTTAGAACGATGCAAGTTGAAATCGAGTTTTGAATAGAAGCATACGTTTTTTTATAAATGCTGCAACACCGTAACAGAGCTTCAAAAATCGGAAAACTTGGGTTTCATACTTTACTCGGCGAGCTCTACAACATATAAAAAATCAGAGATAGACGCAAAACGAAAAATACCTGAACAGAAAAAATTCACCTTTTTAGCGATCGGAACGACTGGGAAGGGACGGACAAATGTCGAAAAATTTACCGGAACTGGAGGAACCGGGACAAAACAAAATCGGTTTATACAACTCGAGAATAAACCCATTAAAACTTGTAGAAAACAACTGTACTCATTACCAGAGTCTTGCCTAACAGTTTTGTGTTTTTCAAGAGCGCTCTCACCCTCAATGTTCTTGTCTCCCTTCGAATAAATCGAATAACTATGAAACTTAGGTGTGAGAATACGCCTTATGTCTACTGGCTCCTCGTTTTATTCACATTTTCGAATCTTCTCGGAATCTTCTCTTTGAGCACTTATGCTCAATTCCCTCCTTTTTCTCTTCAGTGGATGGCAGCGAAACCTGCCGACATTGATGATTCACTTGAACTGTGGCAGCGAACGTTTGATTCATTCGATCGCATGGTATCAATTGAGGCAGAACCATTGTCCTACAAGAATGGCACTTATTCAGCTGATTTATTCGTCACTGCTGCGAATGAGCTAAAAGTACGCGATTGGAACCTTAGACGGGGTGGTCATTCGGCGCCTGAATCTCTGATCATCTTTGGAATGCCGAACTACGAGATGAAAATGACGCTTTATCTTAAAGATTTAGGGAGCAGTTTCCAGTTTACCGATGTACAACTATATCAAGTCTACACACGTATTTGTGAACTTCTCGTTAACGAATATAGTATGTACGTTATCAATACTGGTCTTGGCTATTGTGGAAAGCTCGATAGCAAGGGAAATGACTTTCTCAAGTTTCACGTTCTTGTTCATCCAATGTCGTTTATCAATGCTGCTGATGGAAAACCATTACCGCGGCGTAAACACCCGGACAAAGCAACAGAGCTAGTCCGTGCCGCAGCTTCGAAAATTTTGCTCAACAACCAATTGTGATTGAACCTCCTCCTCCTCGGACAAGTTAACGTAGCATTTTATTTTTTAGTTCATTGAAATATATAAGAAAAGACTGCTAAACATTTCATGCACTAGCAAGTTTTTACAGGGAAGACTGACTAACTTATTCAAGATATACGGACCGTGACACATCTCTCGACACCCAGCTCTGTTAATTTTTTGACCTTTTCTTCGTTGAGGTCCTAGCTAAAATGATCCCTTGTGCATACTATATCACGACTCGCATACCACGGCGATTACGTGACAACTGAAAAAGTCAGGATAGAAAACCAACGCAGTCATTTTTGAGTCTGATGTCTTCGAAGAAACCGACTTTTACATTCCGTTTCGATATGTAAGTTCACTGAGAAATGTGGGAAGTGTCGGAAGGTTTTTCGCAAAAATTATCAGCAACACCTTCATACCTGACCCATTCGAAATTCAAACCTCTTCTCGGGTAAGCATTTTTGGTGAATCCAAATGAAAGTTCAGAGTTGGAGACAGAAAGCTTCGACAATATGTCTTAGAAAGTTTAAACAGGCTTCTTTCAAAACCCAGTTTTGTGAAAAGTGAATTCCCTTGTGAGCGAAATGTTGGCGCGCTTTTTGCGCTCATATGTGTTTTCTTCTTGAATAGTTCTTTAATTGTGGAAAGCTTTGCCCGAGCAATCATGTATCTGTCATCGGAACGGGATTTGTATGCCAGCAGAGTGACCGGTTTGCCTATGAGTTCCCCCAACTAGGGATAAAATCGTATTTAATCAGAAATTAACTTGACACCTGAAAGGTTCTCTCGAAAGTCAAAGGTGGAATGATAGAAGGTGGAACAGGAATGGCAACTACATCAAACGAAGTTGCGAGTCCATTGAGGTGCAAGATGGTTAGGCTGAGGATTGCTGATGCGAAGAAGGTTAACATTTCTGACGAAAATCCGCCGGGACCTGGCAACGGTGGTTGAAGTTGCGCCTCAGAAGTCTCTTGTTGTTGCTGTTTAATACTTTGTTATTGTCGTTCGATTTCCGAAGTGAGCTTTAGTTTTTCAGCTATAGGTGTCGAAAAAAAGAGTTTTGTCAAATACTGCGCATTAGAAAAAGCTTTTCAATATGATATTCGGATTCAGCATGCGAAGACGAATATTCAAGTCTCAAACACAAAATCTAGACTTGTAAATTGGTTTTCAAATTTTAAAACCCCTGATTTTTTAAAATTTGCAATAACTTAAGATGAGCAGGTGATATAAATCTGGTTCAAACGTCAATCGATAGAGAATTTAAAACTGAACAAATGTAGAGGTTTGGCAATATTCACATATCAGATGATCGTGGGTTTTTAGAGGATCTCTAGAAAACCCTTTCTATAATTTGGCTTATAGTTTAATTTTGAGTTTTAAACTTTATTATTGAATTTTTTATGGTTTCTAGAATTATAAAGTATTTAAAATATTATAATTATCTACTGAAAATGCTTGTAACATTTATATGAACCGATTTCGATCCGTTGTATTCGTTTGCTATAAGAGCCTAATGAGAGTTCTCTTCTTTTGATTTATACAGACGATGTGTCGTGAATACTTAGATGTATAACCACAAGTGTCCGTCAAACATAGAAGAGAAAAGAGATAAGATAGGTCATACAGCTGCTGTCTGACATTGTCAGATTGTTTCCTATTATATATTGGTGTAAAATTTGTGCTGTAAACATTTATTTTTTTTCGAAATATTTTTCATTTCTAAGTCGTGCCTTAATAAAAACATGTCTGATATACGTTCACTGCCGAAGTTTACCTTCGATGATATTGAAAAATATATCAAAGATAATCTAAATAAAGTTTGAGGTGGGGCTGCTGACAATCATATGAAGAATTCGATGGTAAATGAAAAGTCCTTTGCTTTACACTCTGAAAAAGGACACATTTTGAGAATCATCATCAAAACTGACGGTGCTACAGCTAATATAACATCCAACGTAAAACATAGTATGACAATGCACAATGTTTGTTGTGTTAAAATTAGTTTTGCTGATCTGAGTATGCCTGGTGAGTGTAACTTCATACCTTTTTCCTGAAAGCTGTATAAAAAAATATTTTTCTTGGAGCTTTGTCAAGTGTCACCGCTAAATGTGACTGCAAATATGGGAACTCTGGATTCTGTAGTCATGTGTGTTCCATTTTATATCGTCTCGCCTCATATCAACTACGGAAACTTGACTATCTACCGGACGAAGACTTTTCTTCTATGAAATAAAAAATGAATGACATAAGAGTTATAAATAGACGCAAATGACTGTGCACGCCTATTCATTACAAAGAAGCCAAGAGAGGAAGACGTTAGCAGACTAAACATCGTCTGTATAAATCAAAAGAAGAGAACTCTCATTAGGCTCTTATAGCAAACGAATACAACGGATCGAAATCGGTTCATATAAATGTTGCAAGCATTTTCAGTAGATAATTATAATATTTTAAATACTTTATAATTCTAGAAACCATAAAAAGTTCAATAATAAAGTTTAAAACTCAAAAAATTAAACTATAAGCCAAATTATAGAAAGGGTTTTCTAGAGATCCTCTAAAAACCCACGATCATCTGTTGTGTTTGAGACTTGAATTTTTTTTTAAATATTCGTCTTCTCATGCTGAATCCGAATATCATATTTAAACTTTTAGAGTTCTAGACCTTTTGCGCTTTAGACTTTTCGAGTTTTACACTGTCAAACTTGTCAGGCTTTCTAGACTTTTAAACATTTAGACTTTTACACTTTTAGACTTTTATAGTGTTAGACGTTCAGAGTTTTGGACTTTTACACTTTCACAGTTTTAAGCTTTTAAAATTTTAGACTTTTACGGGTTTAGACTTTTAGAATTTTACACTATTGAACTTTTGCCCTTTTTGCCTTTTGAAGATTTAGACTTTTACTCTTTTATACTTTTACCTTTCCAAACTTTTCAAGACTTTTAGAGTTTTGGAATCTTAAGAGACGAATCGTGAGGAGAGCAAGAAAGGCCGTAACATGAAATTTTTTAACATATACTTTTTATTATATTTTTGGATTCTACAATCAAAACTAAGGTTATGAAAAAATTATTAGCCTTCCA